CGATCTTTACTGTGTTGCGTGCCAACCCATATTTGGCTAAGAGGCCGGTGCGTTCAGATAAGCACGACCACCGTGCGACGCAGCGACGCTTCGGAACCTTGTTTTGATAAAACTCTGCTCGCTCCTGGGAGAAGATGCTGGTGTTTTGCTCTTCTTGTGCTGTTGGATCTGTCCACACGTCTGATCTAATGACACAGATAAGGGCAATGGGACTTATCTAGCAACATAGATTCTCGCCTCGATTCCACGGTGGAGATTCGACCTATTTAATAACTAGGGCTTACAGAATAGATTCCGCACGATCCAAAAATCAGGAACCGGTCCCAACATGATAGATTGACTCGAAACCTGCCCTATCTTTGAACCGTTTATGCCTGCTAGCAACTATCCCATTAATCACGAGAGTAATCTAGGGTACGAGTATGCGTTTTTAAGGAGGGCATTATGGTCCTTGTATTGAATGTTTTAAGTGTGATGTTGATTACAAGTTTTGAAAATTGAGGACGCAAACTGATAAGAAAGTGAAATTGGACGTCGAATTTTGTAATTATCCCTTAAAGATATTCCATGATAGTTTAAAAAGATTCGAGAACACTATGGCGGTTCTCCTCACCAAGGGCAATGACCTAATGCTGCGCACTAAATATGGTGACCATCAACGGCATTGCTAGTTGTGGAACAAATACAGTAAATAACATTGCATTTTACCCTTATTTTTATGCCGTCAAATATGCGTTACCGTACCTCATTTGGGTTTATTCGTATTCGTCCCATTTGAAGTACTCATCCAATCCAACATCCAAGCTATCGCACGAGACCCCAATCGCTGTTTCGATAGAATAACAATGTCAAATGCAACGCACGATGCCGATGTGTCTTATGTTTTACTTATCAGATTGCTCATGCTAATATAAAATAGACTCTCACACTCGAGAGACAGTGGACGATGGAGATCAGAACTTTCCTTCTGACGCGCGAAAGCTGCCTTATGATGCTACTCATTAACCACAATATTGGCACGAGTCTGTTGTCTACACATAGTTAGTATGGTGATTAAGACAATTCACGAGAACCAGAAAACCCTGTTCTACAACATAAGTACTAGGTTAAGTCAAGTGGAAGGGAGATAATCAACCACGGCTAGGTGGGCTAACTGATGCACAGATGATAAGCAATCGTGTGTGTTTTTTCTACACTTCTGTAGTGTTGGGGGCATCTTAATACATCGCCATCATAGACGTGACATCTATTCTAATTCCAATGGGCGCAGCCATCCGTCCCATCCTTCCCTTTGAGAAGCAACCGAGGATGACATGATTGATCACATTCGTACTCAAATCATGACCGCACGAATTCAAGGATTGGGCACTGATATTTTTGGCCCCTAGAAAGGGCCAAGCAATTGTTATTTATGTTGCTTGCGGGAGCTGAAAAAAACATGCCATGGAAGTACTTTGAGGATGGACGAGCCACTAGGCCAGACGCCACCCGGATCAATTCAAAACGGGAGAAAATTATCCGATCAAATCTTAAACTTAATATACGTATGCCGTTTCAGTACTATACTTTCTAATTTTATGAATTTAGACATAGATCCTTACGTGAAATTTCAATAACCCTTATAGCCGATTTTAGCCGGGCCGATGTGACGGTGGCTATGTAGGATGATGGGCGATGACCCGACCGCCATATCATCGGTTTTTGACAAAAATCGACTGAAAGGACAGTATTGAAATTATTGCAATTATTTACAACTACATCGATAACATTAAAGAAAAAGCCGTATAATAGATTTGACATCGATACTATGCCTGCGAGAGCATATTGAAATTACTGCAATTATTTACAACTACATCGATGACATTGAAGAAAAAGCCGTATAATAGATTTGACATCAATACTATGACTGCGAGAGAAACTCCAAGGATTGATAGGAATGGGCAAGATCAAATCAGCCATTGATGCGTTATCCTTTTCCTGTTCATGGATTGGGGCTGAGGTGGCATTATTCCGGATAACCTTCAAGAGAGAACCGGGGCGTATTTCAGACGCGTTCCGTGGCCGAATCAACTTTTCCTCCGGCATTGATTTTACTCCTCCTTTTTTATTCTTTTCACTTTCTTTTTTGACCCACTTGGCTTTAATTTATGATATGGTTTTTATTGTATTGGGTGTTGATAAGGGTTTCGGTGTCGTTCACTTGCCTAGTGTACCTTATCATGTGGGGTTGGGTGGATGGACCCACGCTTGATTTTCATCCCTTAATTCCATGAAGAGATTTTGTTAGTTTAGTAGTCATTAATTTGGCAAAACCTCATTTTATTGCAGTCGTTGGTTTAGCTAAACTTCCTTTCCACGACACAATTTCTTGGACCCACGAATGATAAATGAGGAGCTGATCTCTCGCGACCATCCATGATGGTGTGATTTTGGCCATTTGGATGCCCTAGATTGGGCCATTGATGCACTCGTATAATGATTAGAAGAACAGAAATAATACAACTGTGCGAATAACCCATGTGTTCCTTTTTCCCTATGTTCCATTTGGTTCTTGAATTTTGATTTGTTTAATTTGATCCGCGTGCTCTTTGAATAGAACGGATTTCATCTTTCTAGTCGAGTTGAACATGTTTAATTGACAGCGTACAAGAACCCGATGATCGTCGAACCAAAATTTTCCGACATTGCCCCCGTACCTTGCAGGACAAAGTTGTCGTGCAAGCCTTCACGGCACCTTAGAAGAAGTCGGAGACTTCTGGATCAAGTTTTTGTGTGGTGCGGTTTTATCACTTATACAAGGAGGACTACAGTACCAGAAGATAAACCTACGTGTAAAAGCTGAAGAACAACGTATATATTCCTTTATCCGATGTTGAAACATAGGATTCTCTACTATCCGGAAAGGAATCTATCTTTTTCTCTTGTTAGGTTTTCGCTTTTCCATATATTAGCGTGATTTCTTTTTCACTTTACAGTTGCCGCTGCTGTGGGAGGACACCTTCCAAGCTTGTGAAGAGCAATAGCTCCCATGTTCCCAACAACACCATTCTATTCTAGAGCAAAAATAAACAAAAAGTGAAACTTGCCCTTCAATTCATTTGTTTGTATATCCTCACCATTGTGCTTTCCCAGGAAAAATGAAAGAATACTCGACTATGAAATTATATATTCCAGGACAGTCTAATGTGGTACTAGAGCCAACAGTCATGTCACTTGTCCTTTCTGCCTGATGAGCCAAAGATAATGTCATGGTGGGCAGACATTACATTATGTTACTTATAATCGGAAAGAGAGAAATTTATATCTAATATATTTTTTCTGAAGAAAAACCCAATTACAGAAAGGTGAAGCATTGGAAAAGAAATTGGTGAGGGATGGGTGACACTGCAATGTCACGGCTGGTGACCGGTGAGAGGTCAGAGAGGGCCCTTCTTCTGCCAACGTGCCTGAGCCAAACCGCACACCAATCCAAGATCCCACCAGTTTCTTTAAACAACCAGAAACAGATCTTCTTTCCTAATTTGCATTTGTGTGGTTGCAGCTTGCGTTATCTTATTGGATGGATGAACTGGCCATGCGGGCATCCTCCAAGATTGTTTCTTAGGCACGAGTTTGTCTCCTGGGACAGGCTGTGTGTTCTGTTAAATCTCGGTCACACATTGCCACCACAACAGAAACCAACGATTGCTCAGACACTTTTGGGTGTTTTCAGCTTTTTGCAGAATAAGAAATGACTGATGCTGGGTCTCCGATGGAGTAATAATGGGGGAGTCTCTTCGACCAAAGTAATGAATGAACCGATTACCAAGGTGAATGGGGACATGTCATGCCAAAGTATGGACCAAATGTCTGAACAGTTTCATTCAAGATGCGGTCAAACCACATCAGAAACTCGCTAATCAGCATCTTCTGTTTTGCTTTTTCTGAACTTTCACATGAACTTTTGTTCATGTTCATCTCGCTTCCGTTGCTTACGGCATTTGTCACGGCATTGTATACGTTGTATCTCTACTTCATCTAATAACTTAAAAATTTTATCCTAATGTCCATGCCTAAGCAAAATGGTTGATGATGGTGATGATCGTCGTCCTCAAGCGACGTGGATGCTATGGTCATTGTCCTTGGTGAGGAGAACTAGACCTATTAAAATTGGTCATAAACCCATTTCTTAATCCATATATTGATAAATAGATCATAAATGTTTTAGTTATATATTTAGCAAATGGATCATAAATGGGTATATGTATCATATATGGATCGTAAATGGGTCATAAATGGATTTACAACTTATTTAAACTCAACTCATCTTTCTTGCTCTCACTCAATCTCGCGTTCACTCACTCCGCACTCTCATATCAATTGAGGTGTGAGTTTTCATAGATTTAGTTAAATATGAAAGTGTTTTAGCAATATGGATCGGGTCGGATATGGGTCAAGAAAATTGCATTGGGCATAAATTGGTCATAAACGAGTTAATGGTCAATTTGGGTCGAACCATTTTGGACCCGACCCAAATCCGACCCGACCCACCCATTTAACAGGTCTAAGGAGGACCACCATAGTGTTCTCTAATCTTTTTAAACTATTGTGAAATATAATTAAGAGATAACTACAAAATTCATCATCCAATTTCACGGATCAATTTGCATCCTCAAATTTAAAAACCTATAATCAACTCGTGCTTAAAACATTCGATACACTCCTTAAAAACGAGCAGTGGGTGGATGGGTGGTGGTGCCTTGGAGCATTTGGGGTGTAGGAATTCATGAGTCCACTAAAAATTTTTTAGGGGCAATATTGGAAAATGCATACTTGCTCCCTAGAGTATTTTTGTGATTAAGGATGGGCGGTTCCAAAGTGAATAGGTTCTAGTCAAACAATCAAAATCGTGTGAAAATGAAGGAAATGCCTCGAAAGAAATTGATTGAATTCTCCATATATTGCTGGTAGAAATCTAGTGCTGCTCTCCTTCTTCCTCTTGTCTTTATGTAAGCAACTCTATAATCACCGAAGAAGGTTCAGCGCCTTCCCGATGCCACTGATTCAGCGGAGAAGAGGTACTTCACTCTCGAAAGCACTGAATCGTGGGCAGGGTCATAAGGATGATCCTTTGAAGGGATCTCCAGAATTGCTGGAACTGGCTTATTGTAGCTATCAACCAGAAACCTTATCATGTTTGCAACCTGAAAGCCAGAGATATCGTCAACAATTAGAAGTACGTCACATATATTCTTACTATGGAGAGGAACAATAGCCCATTTATCATGATCAGAAAATCCTACACGGCGATAATCGGCGAACACAGGACCAACATTGTTTCTGCGATTGTGCAAAATATTTGGATTGGACCCAAAAGAATCTTGAAGTTATAAATTATTGATGCCCATAAGACACTCTTATTTTGTTAATGCCGAAGACTGGATGACTAGATCAACACAAGGGCATATGATCTTGTATGAGTGACCAACGCTTACTACTCATGTACATGTGTAGACATTATCAGGGTTGCTGATCACCAATTTAACTGAAAAACAACCCTTCTGTTTACTACATGGAGAAACAACCAACCAAAGGCAGTACCCTACTAGTGTAAGAAACAATAAATGAATATTGAAGCACTTGATCCTTTATTTATCAGCAAAAGCAACTCATTTAATCTACATTTCAAGTATGGAAAGGAACTCACATATTGACTGATCAAAACAATAGCGATATCCTCTCTTGATGCGAACTCCTTGAAGGTATCTTCAATAGCTTTCACAGTTGCTTCTAAGAAGAACCACGGAAAAAACATCATTAAAGAGGCAAGCATCAGCTATCTTAGAATTCTGCGACCCATGTCGCTTAAAGTAATGGTGCAATCAGAGAAAGAAAAAGGGGTCTTAAGTTACAAACACTAACACCACAAGAAGAAATGAGAAGCCCATCTGCATCTAAGAATTAGCAAGAGGCCGCACCAGTTTTTAATATCAAAGAACTTGTCATGGAACAAGGAAGCTATCCAGAAGAATTTCAAACCGTATTTAAATTAGCTGGACGTTAGCAGGACTACTAGCGGTCTCTTGCTAATGTCATGGAAGATAATCGCCGCGCAAGAACTTGCGAAGGAGAAAGATATCAATAAATGAATATCATTATAAATTCAATTGTACATCAAATAATGATGATGCAAGGGGAGGACAGAATCATACTCGAGTCAACGATGAGATAGTTTGTCTTCCTCCTTAAGTCAACATTACCGACACCAGCCAGTAAAAACCCAGTGACACTGTCCTACACAATAAATTTGCATCATTCAAGAATTTTCAGATCAAAATAATCACCGGTGAACAAGCCAGCATTACGTTGCATTGATTTGTTGTAACTAAAGTGCACACATGTACAGTGCCAAGATAAGGATCTACAACGGTAGATAAAGTCTCATATCTGATAGCTAAAGTTGCCAAGGAAACTTCTCGTTCTATTGTCTTGAACAACACATCTTAAAGCAGTTTCAATACTGTGATTCACATAGCAGACCATGAATAATTTGAGAGTAACTCTCAAGCACTTCAGAAAATGCCATCATTACATAAAGTTATACATGGCTATTTCATGTCCTACTCAACCAAAGAATAACCCATGCAAACAAACATTTGCAAGCCGTTTAAATCTCATCAGGTAAATTCTAGATCCCTGCAAAAGGACAGGCGGCCTCCAAAAGAGAAAACTGATTGCTCGAGATACTAGAAAAGCCTAGCCAGGCATCTCCCAAAGGTTGAACCGCCCATTTGAGTGCTTCTAATGCTATATCTTTTATCAAATCCCACCCCACCAAAAGCCAGCATCGTTTTTTAGCCAAAGGTGCCTATTTCACTTCAACCCACTTGTTCAAATAGTACAGCCATAACATAAAAAGGGGCACCCCCTGCTTCAAAATTGGCTCAAAAGACATATTCAGAGCCAATAATAGAATGGTCCAATACTTAGAGGAACTTCTCACGGTCCACATCATCATCAATTCATTTCAGAATTGTACTCTGTAAATAGGATTGCAGTATATTCCCAAAAGTATCTGTAATCATGACCCACAATCTCACTGTCTATGCTTCTTCAGATGATGAAGTTGCTTCTTGGTCACGTTTCTAGTCAAAAGAAGTACTCGCACTTAGGAAATCCTACACGATGAATGATATTTAACCAGGAACACTCAGATCGTATCTATGCATCCGTACCTCGTCAGCAATCATGGCGATGAGCGCCGAACTTTTAGCGGCGATAGGGGTCCTTCCAGCCATTTGAAGTCGAATTAAACACCTGTAAGCTGAATTTGTTGAAGCTCTGAGCTCTTCTTCCTCGCCGTGAAGAGAGACCAGACGGACCGATCTTCTTGGGGAGCACAGAAAGTCGGATCCTGAAATCGGTGGCCGCCGCCGCCGGCGGGTGGCGGATCTCGGAGTACCGACGACGGCGACGGTGGAGGAGGAGCGGCGCCGCGACGGAGAGAGAATGACGGGGAGAGAGAGGGACGGCGTGGGCACGGGCACGTTGGATTTGTCAATATGAAATAATTTACCCCTTTGCGTGCGACTTTATTACCGTTAAATGCCATTGGATTATGTGCAATGACGAGAATGTCCTCTCATCACTTCTAGATTTTGCTGCTGTCCCCTCGACTTTTGGCCTAATGGCCCAAAAAAAAAAAACAAAAGAATCAACTTTACTTTGACTGACAATTCTGATTCAAACTTTTTTTTATCTCATAAAAATTCACAAATTTTTACTGAAATCCCAAATCTGACTCAAAAAATTTGAAAATTTCATATCATAAGGGTCGGCTTTGAGACTTGAATAAAAATTGGCGCTTTTTATTGAGATAAAAAAAAGTTCAGATCAAAATCGTCACTCGATAAAAATTTGGTGCTTTTGTTTTTTTGGAATTAGACTCTCAACTTTTTGTCCCTTTTGGAGAATTAGCGAGGGTCGCTTGCGGATTTGAAGAAATTTGTGAATTTTTTAGGGGGTGTACATGTATTTTCTTCCGCATGAAAATTTCCATCCAGTCGAGTGTCTTCGATCGGTGGGTTACCAGCTACGGACATTACTCGTGTCAAGCTTAAACTAACAATAGATGTGGACGACATCCGTGTCCGTACTTCATTAATCAGGAAATCGGGGGAGGGGGGTGTTTGGAGAAAGACGTGGCATGTCAGTAAAGTTAGAGAAAAGAAAAGATAAATCATTTCGAAAAATAGAGGTACACAAGTGATCACAAAGTATAAAAATTCGAGGAATGTCCTTTTATATTTTTCTTTCTTTGTATCATGTAAGATGATTAATGTTGACACCTAAATTTTGGCGTATCATTTAGTCGTAATTTGTATAGAAAATTAGGGATTAAATTTTTAACCCCTAAACAAAAATATGTAGGTTGCATAACATATAGTTTAAATTCATTTTAGATTAATTGCATTTTGCATCGGACCGGCGGTGATGAATGAGCTTAAAATTTCATCGAACGAGACTCGGCTCGCTTGGAATGCAAGGGCCGGGAATTACAAGTCAAACGGGCTCGGTTGTTTTAATTTGAGCTTAATTCAGCCCATTATCCTTAATTAATTCAGCCCATTTAAATTAAATTAAAATCTAAGCCCAAGCCTAAGCCCATTAGGACTAGAGAGCCATCTAATTGACCTAGATTAGTGTTATATATACATCATTAGGTCAGGATTTTAGGGGGGACTCATAATTTTCAGAACACAATTCCGAGAGAGCACCTTACGGAGAGAAAAAAATCGTGATCAGTGGGTGGCTTCTTGACATATTGAATACACGGCCACAAAGAGAGAGGGAGATCGGGAGTGGGAGCCGAGAGAGAACGCAAAGTTCTTCAGAATTGAAGATGGTGAGTGAACGGTGGTCTTTGGGGTCCTCTTCGTGAGTGCAGTTTGACTATCCTCATGCCTGAAGATGGTTCAACACACAAAGGAGACCAATACCCAAAGCGAGGAAGCAAAGCGCTGATTTTTGGCTTGGCTCGTCCAGTCCTTGCTTAGCAGCGCCATATCGACGTGCTCCTCAACGACCAGCAGCTTCCATCTACCACAAGGCATTTTTCCAGTACACAACCGATGACCGTTGTCTAGCTTGAACCTGATCAACTACGATACTGCTGCTGCACCGAAAACTCCATCCGCGACGCCACTTGCCGAGCCTTGCATCGACGACGTTGCTTCCCAGTCCAATCCATACGTCCTTTCTGGCGTGCTTGTCTTGTTGCAGCGTTCCTGGTGCTTTCCTTGGCGTCTCATACACATCCGGCCGTGTTACAGCTTCTTATTGGCATGATAACACCTCAAGCAACACACGTATAATTCCTTCAATTGCACTTTTACACGTGTAGTGCAAGAAGTTTTTCTTGTGCAGGTGCCTTGGTGTTTGAGAACGCCTACAGTATTATTTTGTTCTCATTGCCAATTAATCATCGCTAGTCGTATCCTCATCATGGACACTTTGCCGAGACCATCATTCGTCAAGCATTACTGAAAGCCCCACCGAACTGAAAGTCCACACGATCCAGCAAGTTCGTGAACTGTACCACCGTCGCCGGGAGCCAGTCCATTGCCGCCGCATCCGCCGTCGATCGCTCGTCGCCTGTCATCGGTCATCCATTGCCGGTCCTCGCCCTACCGTGCCGAGCACCACCGCGAGCGCCATCGTCGCCATCACCGCGCGCTCCTCCGCGCCCGTCGCCGGACGCCACCGTGAGCCGCCGCGCCGACGCCGCGTCGCCCGTCGTCCGAGTCCGATCCTGATCCACAATTCGAATTTGGAAGTTATCTGCAAATTAGGTAATTCAACATTATCCGATATTTTCAGAATATTTAATTTCCTAATATGGGTGTTTGAATATTTCGTGAATATCATGTGGATATTTAAATATCTTAGGATAATGTTCGATATATCCGCAATATTTTTAAATATTCAAAATTAAGAAAACTTCCTAATTTAGCAACGTATCTGGACGACTATCCGACCTTATCCCTAAGGTTCGATACGCGGCGATACGGAAAATTATTATCCTATCCATAACCACTTGGGTACGATAATGATTTTTATCCGCTTTCCAAATTTGAATAATCGGCTTTCCGTCGATATCTATAACCCTATAGATATGACCGATAGTTTGATTTTTGTGCCTAATCCGAGTTTGAAACAAATATGGCGGATCGCGTGGACGTTTTGAATGTGGTTGCTATCCTTGTTTATTTAATTGCTTTCCTTTTTCAAATAAACAGAAAATTCAAAAAAATATTAATTAGATTTGAATTAGAGTTTTTGCATGTCTAGGAGTCTTAAATGTATCTAGAAGATAGAGTAGTTATTTAATTTAAATTAGGACTTGAGATGATCTATTTCCTAGTTTAAATTAAGTAATATTCTAATCTTAATAGATTATTCAGGTTATTTTATTATTTCGAATTTTAACAAAAAATCCTAAAAAGAAATCATGCTAGGGTAGATTAAGTCATCATAGTTTGCATGTTAATTTAGGCATTTTTATTATTCCGAATTTAAATTGAGAAAATACCAAAAATAATCATTCGTCCTGTCATTAGAAATAGGTCACGTCGTCGCACGACATACAGTTTGCATGCTAGGTTGCATTAATCGCATGTCATTGCATATAGGCTAGATTTCATTTAAATAAGTGAAAATCCAAAAAAGAAATTGAGTGAATTGCTTGTTAATTAGAAATCATATTAGGGTGTCAATGTGATTTTCTAGCTAACAATGCAGATGCTTACGTTGCTTCCAGGTAAGTAATTCTTCCAAACTTGCAATTTATTTAATGCTTTCTGGGTGTTAAATTGGTGGTTTGCGCACTCGCATGGACACCTCACATGTTAGTAACTAAGTTGAAATGGATCCAAACTGCCTGCCAAAACATTTTTGAAAAGAAAAGGTACCGAAAAGGCGTTAGACCAGATCTAGCGTAATCAAGTCCCCGGGCTTAGAATCTCTGGTTCGTAGGAATAAAACATATCTCCCTATGTTTTATTTAGGTTTCTAATCAACCTACCATAAATTGATTAGTGGCGACTCCGAGCATAAAAACTTTTGCATGTTAAAAACTTAAGCCCTAAGTTGCGAATTGGTAGGGCTTGGGAGGGCCCGAGTTAGGCTTAGTCTTAACAATCCATTAGCCTGAGAGGAATTTTAGGTCGCGACAATTAATCAATTGAAAATATTTTCATTATCGATAACAATTTATGTCTAAATATCTTGATCGACGGCGAAATTAAGCACGCCAAAAATTATGAGAAATGATATTTCTTGAGTAGAGCCATACATATGATAGGAGGACCAAATAAAAGGCCAATTCTATACATGTCAACCAAAGAGACTATGGCTAACAAAGAACATGTTTTAATAAAGGGTAAATAATGCAAAAAATCTCAAATTAGTACACTTTTGACAATTTTGTCTTAAACTAATTTTTTGATTACCAAAAACTCTAAACAGGTACACTTATGACAATTTTACCTTTAGTTAGTTTCTGTTAAATTTTAAAGTCAAATTACTGAGTTGGATGACATGTGCCAGTTGACGGATGTACCAGTTTGGGATTTTACCCTCTATTTGTCACAGGTGTACTAGTTTGAGATTTTTCACGATATTAATCCAATTTAACATAGGATTAATTTGTCACAAATGTACAAGTTTGAGACTTTTTATGGTCAAAAAAATAGTTTGAAGTAAAATTATCATATATGTATAAGTTTGGGGTTTTTCGTTGTATTAATCTTTTAATAAAAGTAAAACAAAATCGACTAACGTGGAAAAAAACAAGAAATTGGGCATACACGAAAGAGGAAATTGTATGACCAAAAAAGAAAAAAAAGAAATTGGGATGGAGGAGATATCTCGAGAGAGGAATGAATATATATATATATATATATATATATATATATATATATATATATGTATGTATGTATGTATGTATGTATGTATGTATGTATGTGTGTATAATGTTTCCTTATATGTATCATCAAGAAAAAAATATTCTAAAACTACAAACCGTATCAATCATATGTTACCCTCGTCAACCCCCCTCCTCTCACAAAAAACCCTAAAGATCAATTCCAGTTCCGTCCAATTTCTCCTTAATCTACTCCATGTTGCCTAAGGTAACAAACGGTGCAGTCACGAGAAGATGACATCCAGGCCGATGCGAAAATCACATTTAAGCACGCTTTTGGAAGTGGGGCGTCCTAGGGAGGGATAACTGAGAACAACCTTCAAGCCGGGAGAAT